ATTAATCTCGCCGTGCATGCGCATTTGGGCGTTGAGGGCGCAGAGGCACAACCGCGCCAAATGACATTAGAGCATGTAAGTAAATAAATGGTTTTTAACCCTTTATTCACTGCAGTGGGGGAAGGCCTCGCGATTTGGGAAGAACAGGAACTATAATGCCAGGAACACAGCTTTGTATTGCTGGAACTATAACATCCCTTTAAGTGAGAAATTTTGATAACGGAAAAGACTTCGGAAGACATTTAGGGAAAGGATAGAGAGACTGTTGAGATATTTAGGAAACTGGGAGACTTTTTAGGAGAGAGACACAGTGACCAGACATTTAGGTAAAGAGACACAATGCCCAATATAAACACGCTCAACCAGTATATGCATCCATATACACACATTGCCAAATACATCCATCCATTCATCCATAGTGCCTATTATATACACAATCAACCATATGCACACAGTCCAATACATACATCCACGCACACTTCCCAATACATACATTCATACACTCATCCTGCCTAATACATATATCCATACACATATACTGCCTGATACACAGAGTGTAACGTACACACTTACTGACATACACCATGTCACTTATACATTTTCACTAACAAACACACATACTCTCACTGACATACACAGTGTCACTTATACACTCTCACTGACTTACACACACAGTGTCACTTATACACTCAGTAACACACACTAACTGACATCCACAGTGTCACTTACACACTCACTGATGTACACACAGTGTCACTTACACACTCTCACTGACATATACAGTGTCACTTGCACACTCTCACTAACACACACTCTCACTGACATACACAAACAGTGTCACATACACACTCTTAATGACAAACACTCTCACTGACATACACATAGTGTCACTTACACACTCCCACTAACACACACAGTGTCACTTGCACACACACACTGTCACTCAAACACAAACTTACAACACTTTACATGTAGCTACGCTTTATTTACACACACAAACATAGCAATCTAATACACACATACCCATTTACAATCACCTACAAATCAGTTTTCCTTACCTGCAGATGGGCCACAACTAAGTGATGTGAATGGAGGAGAAGGAAAAGAGGAGCAGCACCCTCCAGTCTGCAGGAAGTGTTTTTGGTCCTGGTAGGGGGAGCAGGAGAGCCATGCACTCTGAGCACATGCTACTTCCTGCTCCCTTCAAAGTGTTTCCTTTGTTTACAGGCAGGGGCAGGTCATGTCCCGGCTTCCCCTGCCTGCAGGAAGCAGAGTGCTGTGCTCGGGTGCTGGGGACACAGCACATCCAGCTCCCCAAGCTGGTAATTTACAGTAGAGGGAGCCCAGCAGCTGAATGGCTGCACTAAGGGGTGGCTAACGAGCCGCTCGCCCAGCACAGCATTCCCAGACAGCAGCAGGGCAGCCCAACAGGAACCCTCCCGGTAGGCAACCCCCGACGGCCGGTGTCCTAGGCGAATGCCTTATTCGCCTAATGGTAGCACCGTCCCTGATCCCAGACAAGAATTGGAAATAACGTAATAAAGGTCTTTTATTTTAAAAGTATGTGCACAGTCTGGGTGTGAACCAAGCTTTACGAATGTTTTGCCACTAACAGCATCTCTCCAAGACAGCCTTGGGCAAATTAAGCAATACAGAACACATTCTATAAATTCTATAATGGTGAAGTAAAATCAAAAACATTCTGAATAAGAGCGCTAAGTATAACGCAAATATCACCATGAACTACATGTAGATGTCCCGGTCTGTGAATGGACTGGTTTATTTACCTCAAACCATAAAATTATCACAATAATATTATGTTCAATGGGTCCTCTAAAACACAGTCATTTAGCTGCTACAACACATTTTAAAAGTCAAACAAATGACATAATGCTGCAAGGCAGTAAACTATAAACTAGCCTCTTGTGCTTTTTTGCAGACCCTCTGAGGCGCAAAGAAGCACTGCAAACTGCTATTTTTATTTTAAGGCCCGCCTTTAGAAAATCAGACAACAGTGGCCAAAAAAAGGGACACATTCTCAAAAAGCACAAACAGGAGTTTGCCCAGTCCTATATAAATGAGCTGTGAATAAAACCCTCTGGTATGACCCAAATAAGCTGTGTAATCTCTCTTCCTGGACAAAACAGCTTTCAGATAACTCAGTGTAAAGCATTTTACCTCTTACCACAAATGACCATGAAGGCTTTATATAATTTGCTAGAGACAGTGACAGAATGTCCTAATATCTCACTGTAATGGCTGCCGCGGAAGTAAATCCCCAAGCAATGATTTTTAAGCATGTTCTTTAATAATTTTCATTGCATGCAGTGTTACTATAACTGAAATAAAAGATACAAAATGCCTTTATGAAGGGGCGGAGCCAAGCCACTGCACTGAACGGCCACAAGCTGTCCGAGCTCCAGGACAAAAAGCTATTAATACACCTCTAATATACCCCAAAACCCACATATTGGCTATCAACTGGATCCCCAGGCTGCCGCCAACACAATGGGATGGAAGACGAAAAAGCCAAGACCCAATAAGCCTCGGCAGAACATGAGCATTGGCGACCTCTGGAGACAAGCTCAAGGCGCCATAGAACCAAATATGGCCGCCTTCAACAATGAATGTTCTGACTTTTCGGATGACTACATGCCCGGAACAGAAACAGAGCCCCCACCTGCACTGAAGGCTCCTCTCTCGGCTCCCTCACCACCAGAGCCGCCTCCACTCACTACAGCAATCATGAAGGAACTGCTGGCAGGGGTTCAGCTTGCCATACAGGCCGACATGGCCCAGATACACAAAGACCTCCAGGGCCTAACGGGTCGTCTAAGCATACTGGAGCAAGACTCCAACTTGAATGCCAAACACACCAAGCACCTGCAACAGGCAGTAAACGACCTGCAAAAGCAGAACCTTAAATATGACTTACAATTTGCAGCAATTTGCAGCACTGGAGGAGCAGAGGCAAGGCGGGAATATTAAGATCTGAGGGATCGCGGAGGAGATGCCGGAGGCCGAGGTACCACATTTCGTTCGGCGACTCATAACGGCCCTCCTAACCCCTAGGCACGCAAAGAAGGTGACCCCAGAAGGGATGTTCCGTCTCCCGAGGCCTGCCAAGGCACCTAACATGCTACCTAGGGATCTTCTAGTGCGCTTCTCCAACACCAGAGACAAAATAGCGGTGATGTCAGGAACACACAATCAAAGTCCTTACCAATTTGAAAACCAGTCGCTGTCTTTCTACACGAACCTGTCGAAGTCCACACTGGCCTGGCGCCGCTCGCTGCAGCCCCTCACCTCCCTCCTCCGCACGCAAAACATCGTCCATAAGTGGAAGGACCACATACTCTGCAAATCCATCAGGGAGACTCCACACACACCATTCATGACCTGCAAGACGCGAGAGAACTCCTTCCCACCCTGGGCCTGCAGCAGGAATACTTAACACCAAGGGGACCAAGCACCACCTCCATACCTCCCGGGCTGGGGGTCCGGCAACAGCTGTTCCGTTTGTCCTCCGACGACCTGTGGTAGGGAACTATGCAGCGGTAACGACCTGACGGAGCTCCGGCAGCAAGCGGAGTCCACAACCACATACCTGTGGCCCGCCTGACCCACGGACTAACCCGAACATCTATGGACTCCGGCAACTACACCTCCGCAACCCCCCATCACAGGGTGTCGACCAAGCGGATTACACTTGTAACACACAGGATCAGCCTGCAGTAACCACACAATAGGGTCTGAGAAGACCACAAGGTGTCCTGACATTCACAGGCAACGTCATGGTTAACT